GAAAAGCAAGGCGCAACTGAGAGCCGAACTCTGGAACCTTCTGTCTATAGAACCTGAAACTCCAAAGCTCCCAAAGCCCCCAAAGCCCCTGAAGCCCCCAAAGCCCCTAAAGCCCCTAAAGCCCCTGAAGCACCCTGAAGCCCCTGAAGCCCCTGAAGCCCCTAAAGCCCCTAAAGCCCCCTGAAGCCCCCTGAAGCCCCCTGAAGCCCCCTGAAGCCCCTGAAGCCCCTAAAGCCCCTAAAGCCCCTGAAGCCCCTGAAGCCCCCAAAAAAGCCCCTGAAGCCCCCAAGCCCACGAAGGCTCCAAAAAAGCCCCCCCCAAAAAAGCCCACGAAGGCCCCAAAAAAGCCCCCGCCAGAAAGCCCACGAAGGCCCTCTGGGCTTCTTTCGCTTGCCGAGGTCGGGACAGAAATTTGCTGCAGCTGATGACTGCAGAGACATCAGGGCCTTGGGCCTGCTTTTGGTTTAGGGTCTAGGGCTTGGGGTTTGGGGTTTAGGGTTTAGGGTTTGGGGTTTAGGGTTCGCGGTTTAGGGTTTTGGGGTTTGGGGTCCACCGTAGCAGCAGAAGGGCTGGGCCCTTGTTCTATCGTCAGTGCCCGAAGCAAGGGACATAACAAAGCAGGCTTGGGTTTAGGGTTCGGAGTCTTGTGTAGAAGTCCTAAGCTGTAGGGCCCGGGTGGTGCGGAAAAGTTACGGAGAAGCCAAGAGCTTTAGTTAATCAAAGGCATTACGCTGTCTTCCACTGCGCAGACTATTGAGGGTGAAGGGGGCTTTGGGCTCAGGTTTGGCTGGCTTTTCGGGGGCTTCCGGGTCGGTAATTAGGCGGAACTTGCCCTTAAGCTTTTTGCTGTTTAGTTTCGGGGTCTAGGGTATTTGGAGTTTAGGTGCCACACTCAAGAAGCACGGTTCACAGAAGTTTGCGGGCTTAAGCCCACTGCCGCTCTCGAACAACACCGTTTCACAAAATTGGCATCCAGGTGGTTCGGCACCTCGGCCGTTGGCACACCTTCAGTGGGCCACAATTAGGACTTCAAAGAGTGGTTTGGGGGGCTAGGCCTTTCAAGGTGTTCACGGGTTGGGGCTTAGCGTTCCCTAAGCCCTACACTCCCCACACGCTGAACCCTAAACCAGTTACTGTAAGGGTAGGGTGACTTCATCTGAAAGTCGCGGGAGTGAAGTATGGTTCTGCACCTCAGACTGCAATCCTCATGAGAGGATACCCCAAGCAAGTATCCCGGTATACACCTACATAGGTTGAGCCCCAAATACTATGGTTTTTAGGGCCACTAACTGATAGGTATACCACTCTGGACACCAACTGGCATACAGGAAAGTCGAACTTTGGACAGGGTATTGGGGCCTGGAAACGTCAAGGAGCTTCAGGACCCTCATGATCACATTTTGGGGAGATCTAGTGTTAACTTCTAGGCAGGGGGACGAGGTGTAGTCATGATGCACACATTACGGCCTTGGCCCTACAATGATGTCTGTGTTGAGCTAAGCATAGAGCGCGCCCCGCGCAAAGCCTGTTAGCTGACACCTGGGATTCCACGGATTTTGTGGAAGTGTCAGCTCCGTCAGCGGAGGCTGACATCAATTTCTTGTGCTGTAGCCGAAAGGCCATGTGTTAACCTTCGTTGCAATCCTAAGCCCTTCGCTATAGCCTCCTTGGGAATGTTTTTTGTTTTTTTAAGATAACCTCAAGGGAATTGAGGAAAAGATAATGTATATTCAGCTGCCAGCTTTACTCTTAGGGTTTAGGGTTAAAGGGTAGGGCTCAGGGTTTAGGGTTTAGGGTTTGGGGTTTAGGGTTTAGGGTTTGGGGTTTAGGGTTTCGGGTTTAGGGTTTAGAAGTTTAGGGTTACATAGGCTTTGGGGGAGCTTGCCCTTGCCTTCGGACTTCAAGACCCTCAAGCCTAAAGCCCAAACCCCAAACCCCAAACCCTAAACCCTAAACCCTAAACCCTAAACCCTAAACCCTAAACCCTAAACCCTAAACCCCCAACCCGAAATCCTGCACCAGTCACCGAAGCCCAAGCTCCCTCTCCTAAGAAGGGGCAGTTCCGAATCAGAATGCTGCCGCATGTAGCCTCAGATGCTGGGTCTAGGGTTTTGGGGTTTAGGGTGCGGGCTTTGGGGTTTAGGGTTTAGGGTTTAGGGCTTAGGGTTTAGGGTTTAGGGTTTAGGGTTTAGGGTTTAGGTGGAGGAACCCCCGAGTGTCTACCCTGATCTCCTGGAAGCCCCACAAGCACCCCTAGCCCCACCCCTTGAGGTTCAGCTTGTTCTTTATGGGCAATTCTCCAAACTAGAGGTTTTTTGGGTTCCCTATTTCATAACAGCACCCTTAGAATTAAGGATCCACAAAAAGGGACCCGAATTAGGGAACTACCCATGCGGAGCTCTCTTGTGTTGCAGAAGTATGAAAAATAAAAGCTTTGTTTTCAATGGGTGGGCTTGTAGTTCAGGTTCAGGGTTTGGGTTTAGGGTTTTCGGGGGGTTTCGGGGCCTAAGGGCAAAGGGGTCGAGGAGATTTGCTGGGACTCAGGAGATTTGGGATTTAGGGTTCACAGTGTTCACAGCGATCAGGGAGTAGGGCTGCAACGCGCGCGCAAGGATTTTGAAGGGCAGGCACCGAAGCTTGGATGCGCAAGGACCATCCTCATCGCATCCTCGGGGCCCGATGGGAGCAGAAACTTTCAATTTAGGGTTTAGGGTTTAGGGTTTAGGGTTTAGGGCTTAGGGTTTAGGGTTTAGTAACGTTTATTGGGTTTAGGCCAGAGGGTCAAAGCTAGCTAGGGATTGTCGGTGTCTCAGGAGTGATACGCATGGATGGAAACTTCAAACGGGCATTGTTTTTTTTTCTCAGTCGATTTGGCAGTGTAGCCGGTTCGATCATGCTGGAAATATGGAATGCTAAGTTGTTACTGTTACCAGCTACGAACTTCGAAAGCCTTAAAGCGTCGCAACTGTGTTGACACCTGTAGCAAATTCGGGAGGGCCAGTACTAGTTTTCTGATGCTCCTTACGTGCGTGAATACGTGCAATTGGAGCACGGGATGTTCGCGCACGTGTACCTGCTGCTGAATTTCGATTCTATGTTTTTTGTCTGGGTTTGCTTCTTCCTCTGTGCACACACGGCACAAGAAGCGGAGAGATCACTCGCTGTCATGAGATTTCATGCACTTTTGCAAGAAAGAACCGCTGCTGTAGTGTTTGTAGCATTTTGCAGCATATTTGCCTCTTTGTACATTGTACAACATTCGGCACGAGGATGTTTTACGTTTCCGGAACAAGACGCGCTGTCACAAGCACTCATGCCTTTTGCAAAAGCCCAAAGGCATTTGCGCACATTTGCCTGTTTCTACATCATATGCCGTGAGATTGCTTGACGTGCGCGTGATGCTGTGCCGCACGTTCATGCCTTTTCCGAACATGCCAACAACACTGTTTTTTTTTCTAGTTTTTTGTTGTTTGCATTTTTACGGCACAAAATGCTGGACGTATCAGTGTTCTTTCCACATGTGAACATGCAAGAACATACTGATACTTACGTCATGTTCGTGTTGCTGTACTCACCCACAACTCCGAGAGCATCCCACTGGTCGGGTGGGAGCTTGGGAGGGGGTTTTAGGCTTAGGTGGCTTAGGTTTAGGGTTTAGGGGTTAGGGTTGAGGACTTGTAGGGGAAGCTTTTGGAGGCTAGGGTTTAGGATTTAGGGTTTAGGGTTTAGGGTTTAGGGTTTAGGGTTTAGGGTTTAGGGTCTCTTGTGTTCCGCGCCCGGGCTGCTGTCCGACTGGTCGCTGAACCGCTGCATCGGAGCAGCATGGGGGCCTCCACTCCCGAAAGTCGGATCCTACAGGCTGGCCGCTACTAAATCAGTGTTAGGGATCCCTTTTACTTTTTGGGTTATGGGCTTTCTTATATATGAACAAAAAGGATCCCTTTTTCTTCCTAAGGGAACAGGGATTAAGGCTAAGCTATGCATCCTTCTTGATACCTTGGACCCAAAGGAAGAGGCCCTAGTATTCGTAGAGACCCTCCCAAGAAGACCGATACCTTTTGATCAGCTCTCATCTGCTAAGTTTCTTGCTTTCTTAAGTTCCTAGAAACCTTCCTCCAAGCTATCTCGCCATCTGCGGAGTAAACTGGGCCGCTGTAGCTCCCGGCTGTACACATCAGTGCAGCTTCCCGCGCCGGATCGCTGGATGTGGTGTGCAGCTTAGGGTTTGTTCAGCAGACCCCCAAACCATACACCCTAAACCCTACCTCAAGGGTTTTGTTGTGCAGAAGGGCCCAGGGGATGTAAGGCCTGTTGGCACATGACATGCGCCTCTGCAATCGACGACATCGACTGCGGGAACTGAACACGACGAGGCAACCATCTGAACCGTTGACCTTAAAGCCCCACGGCCCAAACCCTAACCTCCAAAGCCTATAAAGCCTAAACAAAGAGGCTCAACGCTTGCATCTACGCGTAAACCAACCCACCAAACCGGAAGTTCACAAGGCCCTGCATAGGAGAAAGGCATTGTCGCCTCTGCTTGGGCCCTGTTGGCGAAGATCTTGAAGCTGAGTTTTTATTGTTTGGTCAGTCGACATGTAGCAACGCTTCTGTTTCTTTTCAAGCAAGGTTCTAAGACTTGTTCAGTGTTACGTTGGGTTCAGGATTGTTGGCTCTTGGGTGTAGTTTTTCTGCTGCAAAGTTGCAAATGATGCAAAGGCATCGAGCAAACCGGCGCGACAACACAGTGCCGCACGTGTTCAACCAGCGAGGGCAGCAGGTTCAAAAGACTCCAAACCTAAAAGCCTGAACCTAAAGCCTATATATATGTGTATAGATATACACATACAGAATAACATAACACTGTATTGTGCTACTTTATACGGTTGTATACGATATCCGATTATATCATCTATCAAAACCATACATGCAGTACATAGAGTAAATACATGCAGCAATAGCAAGCATATACCTACATGTATGCTCATCGCCTACCTGAAATGTTCATAGATGCCAAGGCAGGTACCTGTACGAGGTCGCTCTCGCCTCAAACTTGGGTTCTTCCTTTGTGACAGTCACCATATCAGGGTTTACGGTTTGGGGTTTAGGGTTTAGGGTTTTGGGAGGCAGTTGCAGCTGTAGTGTGGAGTATCCTACAGGTCTTGCACATACCCGAAACCCACCCTTGCCCGAATCTCATCAGCTGAGTTCTCATGCATTGTGAATTTGCTCGAAATCTCCACCCCAAACAGGGCAACCTCAACACTCAGCACTTGGAGGTACATGGGGCAGTTCTATCCTAAGTAGGGTAGCGTTCATTTTCTTTTTCAGCTGGTGGGGATGTTCCCCCTTCTACTAGCAGTCCTTAATAGGGATTATAGTCCGGGGGTACTATAATCCCGATGAAGGGCTGTTAGTATCAGGGGGAACATCCCAACCCTAAACCCGAAACCCGAAGCAACTGGGTTGAACGAAAGTCCGGCTCAAGCTGATGACCCCAAGTTGCCAGGATGACTCAAGGAGTTTACGAAAACAGGGGACCCCTAAGATAGACCCCCAAATAGTAGGATCCCCTTAAGGTAAGGACCCGAAAAAGGCACCCCTACTTCCGAAAACCCCATCTTGTTGTGCATCGAGGCTTTGTAGGGTTTAGGGTTTAAGGCTCAGGGCGTTTCATAGCGCAACGCACGGCAAAGGGACATGTAGTTGTGCTTGGATAGATCTACCTGCTTCTCAGGTACCAGGTCACTTCCACCTACCCAGAAGAATGCCCTGTAGCCTTTCTAGAGCGCGATGATACAGGTAAGTTGAAAACCCTGCCCCTGAATCCTCCTTCAAGCCGCCGGGCTGACGTCAAACCCAAACCCAACGAAATAGCAAAGCCCTGCATCCCTAAACCCTAAACCCTGAACCCTAAACCCTAAACCCTAAACCCTAAACCCTAAACCCTAAACCCTAAACCCTAAACCCTTAACCCCAAACCAAGTTTTTCTGCTGAAAGCAAGCACTGCCGCCATGAATGCCCCCAGTTTGGCGCAACATGAGGCCAGGGATCAGCTCAAGAGTCACGTTCCTAGGTAGGCCCTTTTGGGGTTTAGGGTTTAGGAGTTGAGGGTTTAGGGTTTAGGGCTAGCCCCCTGGGGATATTGGTATATTTTTCCCTGATTGGGTTCAAGAAGAGGGTCATGTTCATGAATGCATCTCACGGGGTTCTACGGGCCATCCTGGGTTAGTACTCGGTTCTTGAGCAGTATACGGCTATGCTCTGTACGTTTAGAAAAGAGCCACCACAAGTAGATGCCCATACGGTCTGTACTTGTAGTTAAGAGGCCAGCAAAGGTAGACTCCTCGTTTCTTGAGGATACTACAAGGTCTTCGGGTTTGTCTGTTTTTCGGTTTTCACGAGTGTGTGGTACCCCGAACCCAAAAACCTGAGAAGTCCTGGGGGGTGTCGTGGGAGGTTAAGGGTCAGCGCTTAGGTGGCTCATGGCTCCACGAAGGCGAGTAGATCCCTCAGCTTGAGTTGTCGGGGGGTGTGTGTGGCTACTGCAAATTCATCGCAAGTTACCATATTGGGGTTCAGGCCTTAGGGTACAAGCTCATCGAAGAGGACAACGCACCTCGCAGATGGCGCCCGATATCTGACATTGAGCACGAACCGAAGGGAAAGAAACCGGCCGATGGATCTCCGCAGCACACTGGTGACACTGCCCTAAACCCTAGACCCTAAACCCTAAACCCTAAACCCTAAACCCTAAACCCTAAACCCTAAACCTCGTGCTACCGGGATCACGCAGTACACGGCATCGCGAAGCTCCATGGCATGGGGTGCCCGCTGAATGCAAGGAGCCAAGGGCTCCCAGAGCCGAGTACTCCCAACCGAGCGAGGTTTAGGGTTTAGGGTTTAGGGTTTAGGGTTTAGGGTTTAGGGTTTAGGGTTTAGGGTTTAGGGTTTAGGGTTTAGGGTTTAGGGTTTAGGGTTTAGGGTTTAGGGTTTAGGGTTTAGGGCCTCAAAGCCTTGGTCCGCATGTTCCTATGGGTTGGAGTCGCGCTGCTCAGACACGGGGAGACAGAGAGACAGAGAGACAGCGAGACAGAGAGACAGAGAGACAGAGGAGACAGAGAGACAGAGAGACAGAGAGACAGAGAGACAGTGAGAAGCGGAGCGGTGTTTGGCTCAGCGGACGTGGGGCTGCCCGTGGTGAGGCCCGTTCGCTCATGGCTACATGGGCTGCCCAAGTTTCCGATTTCCAGAAAAATTGCAAAGTTTTTCGATGAGGAAAGCCTTTTGGCTTGGGGCTCATAATGTCGTAATGCTCCAGAAAAGCTTGTTAGTGGGATACGACTCTATGCATGAATGTGGTTGCCACTGGCTTTGGTTTGTCTCGTTGTGAAGAGTATTCGAGTGGTCTTAAGGTGGGCACGTCTACTGCGCTCTCTGACCAGCGCGGCCGAACACACCTTAAACACAAAAGACCCTAGACCCGAAGCCCGAAACCCGAAACCTGAGCCCTAAAACCCTGTATACTCAAGCCTCTAAGCCCGCAACCTTCTGTAAATACCCCTGCCTCCAAGCCCTAGACCCTAAACCCTGCAAACTCAAGCCTCTAGGCCCTCAACCTCGTAGTCCCTCAGGCCCCCGAGCTGCCATCGGTGGAATTCCGACAGCTCCGCAGTGCCTCAGCAGGAGAAGTGAAGTTGGCGCACGGCACCAAACTCCCTACATCCCTGAATTCGATTTAGGGTTCAGGGCTTCGCGTTTAGGGAGTCTTGTAAGTCTTCTTGTCCCTGTTTGCATCCCCCAGCGCGCTAGTCTTGAGGCTACCTCGAGGCGGAATTCGCAAAGCAGCACGACCTCCTCAGCGCAACTATGGCGGCAAATACTTGGGGCCCTAGAAGCACCGAAGCTGGTAGTCGAAACTGTCGTGTGAATATCTGGCGGGGGGTGGGGGGGGGGTGGGGTGTGGAGGGGACGGTTCAAATTAGACGTCTCTATTGAAGTATACTTCCTACAGCGACCGAGCCTTAACGCAGAATCCCCCTCCAACGAGACAGAGAAGGCATATAAGCACGGCCATGGTCATCTCTGAGGCACAGTCCAAGGTTATCCAAGGTTCAAGATTCGGAAAGCCTGTTCCATGGCAGGCACAAAGCCACCCCCTCCCCCCTGGCCCCAAAACTTTCGACTTCGAGCTCAAACTTCAAGAGCCCAAGTGCAAGTGAATCAAGCCGCACACTCGAGCAGCATTGTCGCCGGCTTGCTGGACTTCTGAAACCCCAACTTTAAATTCACTCACGCAGAGGATGCTTAAAACACCCTAAACCCTAAAACCCTCAAACCCTAAAACCCTCAAACCCTAAAACCCTAAACCCTAATGCCCCAAAACCCTAAACCCTAAAACCCTAAAACCCTAAACCCCAAAACCCTACACCCTAAAACCCTAAACCCCAAAACCCTAAAACCCTAAATCCCTAAACCCTAAACCCTAAGCCCTGATGTGAAAGCAGCCCAGGCCCTGGTGTCCCGAAGCCTGCTGCCCTCATCCCCGATGCCCTGGCAGCCCAGCGAGGAGGTAGTGGCTTAGAGCTTAGGTTACATTGCTTGGTGGTCTCTTTAAGTAGGGTTTCTGTTTTGTAGGGGGCTCGTATTAAGGGTATCTAAGGGCTATGTTAAGGTATAAGGGTAACAGATAAAGAGCCCACCGGCCCTTTATAAAGCTCAGGGCTTAGGCGTTCAGAGCTGGGAGTTTCTGTTGCTGAAGTGCGGTTGAGGCATGGGTGAAGCCAAGCCCCAAAAACCCGGAAATCCCAAAACATTTAGGTCACCTAAGGCCTGATGCAGTGTCGCGGGAAGGGCCAGAATTGAAGGCCCGGGACAGAGCTGGAGAGTCGAGCCAGGAGTCTTCTTTCCTGCTCACGGCTCCGGACGAAGACAATGAGGCGCAACGGGTGCTCCCGCAGCCGACTTAAGCAGCCCTAGGGCCATGAACCTTTCTCCCGAACCCAAAGGCCTTGCGCATAACCCCAAAGCCCTCTACGTGCCTGAAGGGCCTCAAGGCCCTGAAGGCCCTGAACGCTGGAACGCTGAAACCCTGTAAGCTTGAGACCCTTGCAGCGCAGCCCCACGGCTAAACCTCATGTTTTGATGCCTCAGGGTTTTTGGTTCCCTTCCAATCCCCCCCAAAAGCCCTCAACCCGAAGCCCTCGATTTCTTTTTTTCCTAGGCCCTAAGCCCTGAACCTCAGGTTCCCTGAATTCCCCTGAAAGCTCAGCCTTTCCGGCCTGCCTTTTGGGAAGGAGCCCGGGGTGCATGGCGAGGTGCACGGCGAGGGGCACGAGAGCCAGCAGGAAGAGGGGAGCTCAGGCAGGGACCCCGAGTGCCTCTCAGTACTCCTCACTTTTGGGGGGAAGAGAATAGAACGGCAGCAGTTATAGAGCAAGGAAGCCGGAGTATGAACATAGATGTGCATATCCATGTGCACATGTGTTACATATGTGTATATATGTATTTATGTATCTTTGTATGCAGAGACAGATAGATCGTTTAGGGTATGCGGCATAGTCATAGTTCCGCAGGTCTTATGCCATGCTATGTTATGTTATCTTGTGTTACGTTGCGTTGCGTTGTGTTGTGTTGTGTTGTGTTATGTTATGCTATGTTCTGTTATGTTATGTTATGGGATGTAGCGGCCTTTGCTAAACAGCCTAAGCCCACAGCCTTAGGCCCTAAGCCCTGAACCCTAAACCTTGAACCTTCGGGCTGAGGGTTTGCGGAGTCTAGGGTTAGGGCTCAGGGCCTAGCCTCCCGAGCCGTCAGACTTAAAGAAGCCCTCAAGCCCTGAACGCAAAGAAACGGCAAGAAAGGGCTTCAGGGTTTCGGGCTTACCATCCTAAACCCAGAGCCCTAAACGCTTATCAAAGGGGCTGGCTTGTTGGTCCCTCCCAAAGCTTGAGACTAGGGCTTAGGGCATCTAAACCCAAAGCCCTAACCTTAAACCCTCAATGGGGTTTAGCGTTTAGGGTTTAGGGTTTAGGGTTAAGGGTTGAGTTCAGGGGCATTGGGCTCTTTTGGGGGAGAGCTCCGCTTTTGTCGAGGAGAACGGGAATCTGTCGACTTTGCGGAAGTCGTGCGACCGAGCAGGGCGAAGAAGGCTGGAGGGGTTGGTTCAGGGTTGAGGGTTTTAGGGTTCCAGCTTTAGGGGTGGGGCTGTGGGGGGTGGGATTTAGGGTACAGGGTTGTGGGGTTGTAGTGTTTGGGGCGCAAGGGCATTAGGGGCTTTGGAGTTTTTTGGGTTCAGGGTTGCGGGCGTCGGCCTGGTGCTTATTGGGCTGAGGGATGAGGGCTTTAGGTTCCTGCTGCGAAGATCAGCACCGCAGCCCCCCAAGTTTCCCAAAGTCGAATCCCTAAACCTCTAAACTTAAGCTCGAAACCCCTTGCTGGTTCCTAGAAACCCTGCTGAAGCACGTACTGCCCCTGTACCCCCGAGCGCCCCGAAACCCTTAGAAACCCAAAGCTCCGGACTGCCGGAGCAGTCCGGTACCTGGAAGAAAGAGCAGTCCAGAGCCGTTCCGTTTCAATAAAGGTATGGGGTTTACATTTATATATATATATATATATATATATATATCTATATATATACACATAAATGTATATATATATATACACCTATACATTATATATATCTATATATATACACATAAGCAAATAAGTAGATAAACACATAAAAACAACAAGTAAATAAATAGATATAAAATCAGAGATACGCATAAATACTATAAATATAATGATTATAACTATAGATATAGATATAGATATAAATATAAGTATAAATACAAATATAAATAAACAGATATATATATATATATATGTATGCCTAACTCCCAAATTTTTGCTAAGCACCAGCCAGTTGAGGATCTAAGCAAGCAAAAGCTGCCCTAGATGTAACCGAGGTTAAAGGCCGCAACAGGGACTCACAAGGGACCCTGAGCCCTCAACTCTCAGTTGGAAACTCCCCTCTCTGTGGACCAGGAGACCCTCTTCTGGAAAACCTCGGAGCTGCAAATGCAGCAGGCGCAGCATCAAGCATCGCAGCTGACGCTAGCCGCACATGGGGACTTAGGGTTTAGGGTAGGGGGCTTCCGCAAGCAGCGGGCACTCTTTTGGGGGTTCCTGTAATAGGGATTGCCGGTATGGGTGTTGTGGGGTATGTTGGGGCGACAGGACAGCTCTTAAAGCGATATTTCTCCTACAGCACACACCGCAGGTATAGCAGGACCCCTAGTTAAAACGCCATCTTGTGGGCCCCAGCTTTTCAGCTCAGTCTTTTGCATCTGCATATTGCGGGTTCTTGTTCAGGATCCTGAGTTAGGTTCCCATACACTGGATTAGTCAAGAATGTAGTTCTCTTCTTCGGTACCTTTATCTATTTTTTTAGCAAAACAAGGAATGTGCGCTTCTCGGCGCTGTGAAGGGTATGTTGCTGGCGTTGAGACTTCGAGCGCAGATGAAGGCAGAAGTAATGAACATATGGGCAGGCGCAGTGAATTGGAGATTTTTGCATGGGAAAGGCGAAAATTGGCATGCGTGGAGAAGCATGGCGGACGAGGGTTGAGAGTCATGTTTGATATTTCTTGTTTTGAGGGCAGAACATGGTTGAGCACAGACCGCCAATATGAAAAAACACGAATTATTCGGCCTGTGTGGGGTTTCGTAGCATTGCGAAAGTTGCGGACTTTCAGCAGACTGCGGCAGGAAGCGAGAGCGCGGTGCGAATAATAGTTGCTATTTTTGGGAGAACGGAGGTGAAGGTTTAGGTTGAGAGTTTAGGGTTGGGCGGCGAACTGCAAGGGACCGACAGTGTCCTTGCGGCAAAAAAGGGCCTTGTGAAAGCAAGCAAGCATGAAGTAAATACCATCCTTTCGGCTGTTGACGCACCAAAAGATCCGGGCACGGACGGCAGTCAAAGCCGAGAAACAACACCTGTCACGAGGTGACTGCCCCGCACCCCCATGTCACGCCATCGACATACCTTCCACGTGTCCGAGAAGCGCGCATACCCAAAACAACTCTGTGGTGCTTTACTGTAACTTCAGATCCTTAGCCTTTTTGGGTTTATTGGGTTTCTTAACAAGGCAGCTAAAAATTAAATTTATAGCTACCCTGCTAAGTGCAGCCAAGACAACTGCACTGGTGTGTAGGACAAGGTTGTCCAGAAGAATGCTCAGGGATGAGCTGCACCGTTGGGTGGCTGGGGTGTCCTCCTTCTCCCGGGTTGCTAGGGAACCACCAAGACCTGTTTCTGTTATCTCCTAAATGACCCTAGGAACCCCTGAAACCCTCAAACCCAAAAACCCTGAAACCCTAAGAACCCTAAACCCCTAAAACCCTAAAACCCAAAAATCCTAAACGCTAAGCCCATGAAACCCAAACCCCCCCCCCCCCCCTTCCCCAGCTGCAACTGGGAGGGTACCCCAAACATGCCCCAAAATACTACAATCCT